ATTTTAATATTAATATATTAATAATATATTAATAAATATATCAATTAATAATTAATAACAATTCGTCAGCAAAGCGATGGGTCACTTACTAGTTTATTATAAAATAATAGAATTTTATAAAATATTATATATATATAAATAATATAATAAAATATATAAATGAAAAAAATTATATATATATAAACAAATTTAAACGAGAAAAAAATTTATATATAAATAAAGAAAAAATTATTATTCTTCTTGAATTAACTCTTGTTTATTACTTTTTTCATTACTATCATCATTATCATTACTATCATCACTATTATTACTATTATTATTATCATTATTGCTATTACTTTCAAATATTTTTTCAATTTCCTTAATTTTTCTTTTATTTAATACTTTTTTTTCTGCATGTTTTCGAATTTCACTTAATGGAGGAATATTTATTTCTATATCATTATTAGCAGTAGGTAGATTATTATCATTATTTTCTATTATTGAAGTTAATTTGTATGTATTTTTCTGTTATTTTTGTGATATATATAAGTTTTTCTTTTTGGGAGAAGAGGAAGTAAATGAAATTATATTATCATTAGTAACAGACAGATCATCATCATTATTATTTTCTGTTATTGAAGTAGGTTTGTGTATACTTTTTCATTGTTTTGAAGATATAGTATGAGTTTTTCTTTTTAATAAAAGTGGAGAAGAGGAAGTAGATGAAATTATTTCTATATCATCATCAGCAATGGACAAATTATTATTATATTATTTTTTGCTACTGGTATAAGTTTGTGTATACTTTTTTGTCATTTTGAAGGTATAGTACTAGTTTTTTTTTTTAATAAAAGTGGAGAAGTAGATGAAATTATTTCTATATCATTATCAGAAATGGATAAATTATTATCATTATTATTTTCTGTAACTAAAGTCGATTTCCATTGTTTTGAAGATACAGTATGAGTTTTTCTTTTTGGAAAAGAGAAAGTAGATAAGATTATTTCTATATCATTATCAGTAACAGGCAGATTATCATTATTATTAATTTCTACTACTGGTATAAGTTTGTATTTACTTTTCCATCATTTTGAAAGTACAGTTAGGGTTAGGAATCGTCTTAATATTTAGACTCGATTAATCGTCACGAATAATCAACAAATAATTGTGAATAATCATTAATTATTCACGATTATTTGACAATTATTCAACAATTATTTAGCAATTATTTGACGATTATTTGACGATTATTCACAATTATTCGATGATTATTCACGATTATTTAACGATTATTCACGATTATTCAACGATTATTCGACAATTATTCAACGATTATTTGACGATTATTTGACAATTATTCAACGATTATTTGACGATTATTCGTGATTTTATTCAACAATTATTCACGATTATTCAATGATTATTCACAAATATTCAATGATTATTTACAGATTTTTGCATGGTTTTTTTACAA